CATTTTTTGGATTATCTTATCGTACCTCGTGGGTTGGTTGCTATTAAGGAGTACTAGGTCGTTTGTTTCTATCCATTCGGAGATTAATTTGCCATGATTATCTATTTTATCATCTATGCTCCATGTAGGATGGTGAACGTTAAAGTCTCCTAGGAATATAGTAGATTTATCGCTTATTTGGAGTAGTTTGTTTAGATCCTCAGGTTGGACTTTTTTGTTCCGCCCAGTGGTAAATATTTATGATGTTTATGTTTCGGTTATTTAATGTGATTTTAATGCCGTTGGCTTCTAGGTTTGGCGTGTCTATTTTTATTTCTTCGTAATTTATACCTTCCCTGATAAATATGATTAGTCCTCCTGTGGCTCTTCTTGTTTTCGGTTTCTAACTGAGTTGTAGTTAGGTAGTGTGAATTTGGATTTTTTTTGAGAATTTGGTTTCCTGTATACAAGCAATGTGAGGGCCTTTATTTAGTTTAAATTTAGTTTTTAGTTCATGGCTGTGGGAGGTGAGTCCGTTGGCGTTCCACTGAAAAATATTTAGTCCTTCCATTATTGGGTTCGGGTGATTGGTGTTTGTTTTTGTTTTTTTATTCGGTGAGTTCTTTTAGATGGAGGTTAAAGAGGAAGAAGGGAAGATCGGTTAATTTTAGATTGAAAGCTACTTTGTGGAAGGATTTCATGCTAGCTTTTGGTGAGTTTTGACTATGCATGTATGCTAGGAGTAAGGTGAGATTATTTAGGTTTTGGGTGTTGGCTGGTTTGGGAGTTTGGTTTGTTTTAGTTGGAGTAGTGTCTATTGTTTCCTCAGTAGTGGAGAAATCTTCGTCATCGGTTAGATTAGGTTTAGCTGATTAAGTTTCCATGGGGGAGGCATGAGATGTGGAGGATTGTGAAGGTGTTTGCGGGATGGGTGTAGCTGATGATTTCTTAGTGTTTGTGTTTTGTTGTTGTGCTTGCTTGTGGGAGAGTGTTGTTGCCATATGGGCTGTAGGGTGCTTGGATGAGGGTTGTGTTGTGGTGGTCATTTTTAGGTTTGTTTTGCATGCGGGGGTTGATGTTTTGGCTATGTGAGATGTGGGAGGGTTCGTGGTTGGTTGAGTGGCTGCTTGTGTGTGTGAGGTGGGTTCGGTTTCTCGGTAGAGGGCCCAGACAGAGCTGTCGGTTATGAGTGTGGTGTTTGTTTGTGGGATGGTGTTTGGGTGTGGTGTAGGGAGGAGTGGTTTAGATGCAGGTGTAGCAAATTTTCGTGTTTGGATTTTTGCCGTGTCTATGTTTATGTGTTCGTTGGCCTGCTGGGTGAGTGTGTGTCTGTACGGGCATTGGTTTGAAAGTGAAGTGTGATGGGTGGATTTGCAGTGGATGCACCAGGGTGTGCATGTGCCTGGGCAGTCTGTTTGTGCGCTTTTTTTACATTTAGTTTTACGGTATGTGCATTGGGAGGCAGTGTGGTTGTATTTGAGGCACTTTGAACATTGCTTAACCTGCTTTATATAGGGTTTGACTTCTAAGTTGGTGTGGGCTCCGAAGGATATGTGTTTGGGGGCTTCAGGGAATTTAGCGGTCTTTTTGAAGTTGATTATGACAATGGAGGTTGGGACCGTTTTTCCGTTTCTAGTTGAGGTTATTCTACGCGTGCTAGTGATTAGGGGTTGAGGGTTTTGGTCTTGGTTTATGTAAATTAGCTTCTAGAGAGTATAATTGTAAGTCCTCAGTTGTTTCCCTTGAGTTAACCCTAATTACGCCTCGTGTATATTGTTGCCAATTAGGTGTTTGTTTGAATACCGTGACGTGGAATATTTGAGTCATTTTATTTGCTGCGTTGTAAGATTCTCGGTTAGGGAAGATTATCTGGTATCCTTTGTTGGCTTTTTTAATATTGTTGTAATTTATTTTTTCTCTTTTAAACCAAAGTCCTATTTTATCTGCCGAAAGTTCTAGTGAGAGAGTGGTGCATGAGCCTGCTGAGAAGAAGTAGAGGGCGAAGGTGGTGAGGAAGGCGGCCGGGGAGGGTGTGGGCGATGGAGGTGGAGTGGATGTGTCGAGGTTGCGTTTTTTGGTGTTTTGAGGTGGCGAGTTAGCTGGTTTGGTGGGGGTGGTGTGTGTCTTGTTTTCGCCATACTCGGTCGGGACGATGTTTTCGAGTGACCTCCCGGAAGTGTTGTGCGCTTCCGCAGGCGTGGGTGAGTAAGGAGCTGGAATGTCTGCGAGTGTGGCGTTGCGGGTGTCAGTCATGTTGTTCGGGTGTTGTGTTGGAGAGTTGGAGAGCGTGTGTTGTGGTGAGTAGTGGTGGAGTGGGAGTGGTGTTTTGGGGAGGTGAGTTGGCTTGTTGTTTTTACTGGGTGAGTTGTGTTTAGGAGGCCGAGGAGGTTGCGGTGGTTATTTGTTGTTGGTTTTAGTAGGAGGGTTTGGGAAATGGATTAATTATTAAAGATTTGTTTTGTTGCTGGAAGGCTGGGATTAGGTGAGACGAGTGGAAAGCGGGGATTAGGAGATATTTAGTCGAAGGAGTGGAGGTATGTGAGTGGTGGGCGTGGGTGGTGAGTAGGAAAGAGCGTGCGTTGTGTTAAGGAGAAGGGGGGATTAGGTGTTTTTTGTTTTTAGGAGTTGGGTCAAAGGGTGTGTTTGAGTGGTGGGCGTGGGTAGTGAGTAGAAATGAGTGTGAGCTGTGTTAGGGAGATGGGGGAGGATAAGGTGTTGGTTACTTATAAGAGTTGAGTGCTGTTGTTTTTAAGGATTTAGGGGTTTTGTGATTAATTCGGTGAGAGTGTTGTATGTGAATAAGGATGAAAGGATAACGTGATAATTACCGATGATGGAGTTTCCTTGGCTGGCTATCAGGAAAAATGCTCTGTGCTGGCTTGGGAAGTGTTGCTCGCTTGTAGTACAAACTGCAACTGATTGTCTGGCCAAGACTCGATTATTTACAGACCACTGTCCTATAGCTGGAATATTGATAGGTTCGGCGTTAAACAACAAACAAACAAACGATGAGAGTGATTTTAAGAGTATGTGAATAAGGCTGAAAGGATAACGTGATAATTACCGATGATGGATTTCTCCTTGGCTGGCTATCAGGCAATGCTCTGTGCTGGCTTGGCAGGTGTTGCTTGCTTGGAGTACAAAATGCAACTGATTGTGATGAAGCCTTCTCACAAGTTATTATAGTACATGCTTCTGCTTGTTAAGAGAAGTATGTTGTGTTTTGATTTCTATGGACAACTAGCGAAGCCTTCTCAAATGTTGTTACAACACATGATTCTGTTGTTTACAGGAGATTGGCTTAGGACAGGATTATGAAGCCTTCTCACAAGTTATTATAAAAAGGCTGGGATATGCTTTCAGTAAACAAGTATAATATGCCTTGGTTCATTTCAGTGATTATGTCTAATTACTGAAGATTTCAGTAATTAGACATAACCACCAAGTGAATCAGTTATTAGACATAATCACTGAAATTTCCAGTTATTAGACTTAATCACTGATTATACTTGTTTCCTGTAACATATATATGTGAACCTGTTGCTAAATCATAAAGTATATAAATCATGATCTGCTTTTCTGATTGACATAACATAATATGTATTATATTTGTTATTCATTCTATGTGTCGTACACTTACAAAATATATATTTTAATTTTTTAAAATCAATAAATATTTTAGAAATGTATTTTTGGGGCTATACATTATGAAAATTTCATTTTACAAATAACATACCCCAAAACAGGCACGCACAATTGTTCAGGTGACTCAGTGATAGCTGAAAAAGTGACTGAATCAGTCATGTGCCTTCTTGTCATGTGTATAGACCATAGTAAATAATGACCATCATTAGAGTGAATGCAAAAACATAAAGACATTTCCTGCTCAATGTGATCACGTAACCTCCGAAACTTAATCATTCTCTTTCACTTCACTTTACTTGATAAATGGTAGACAAGGATTAGAGACAAAGAGAACTTCAAAGAGGGATTTGTTTCTTGTGGTGGACATCTTCCAAGATGCATGACCCTGCAATTTGAGCGAACCCAACACTGACCTCTTACTATCTTATTAGAGTGAGTGAGTGAGTGAGTGAGTTTGGTTTTACGCCGCTTTTATCAATATTCCAGCAATATCACGGCGGGGGCTTCACACATTGTACCCATGTCGGGAATCGAACCCGGGTCTTCGGCATGACGAGCGAACGCTTTAACCACTAGGCTAACCGACCGCCCCCTATCTTATTAGAAACTGACTGCTGAAACTTGGCATGCAGGTTCCTTAAAATGAAATCTTAACTTGTTCAAATCAATGTGAATAGGAGTTTGTTTTTGTTAAAATATTACAAAATCAAACAAGAAGTTGCTAAGTGCTCATGACTATTAGTTGTGTGAGCTACAGAGACTTGTGTCTCTATTTTGTTATTGGTGTATGATCAGTCAGTAGTATGTTTTTCTTTATGATTTGATTTTGCATTCCCAACATTTGTTTTTAACTGTAAACACTAAAGCAGAAGTTTCCTTGGCCACCACTTTGTTAAAATCTATTTTTTTCAATATGACCTTCACAGCAGCCACATTGTCAATCAAAATTTAGTTAGTTAGTACTGCATTTTTGTTAGTACTGAGTTTTCGTTAGTACTGAGTTTTCGTTAGTACACGGACTCAACTCTTATGTTCCATATTTGACATTATTTGAATTTTGACCGTGCTCTTAAATTCTGTCTAAATACATGTTATTCTCTGTAAACTGTTTCTTCTCAGAAATTGCCCTACTGAGGGAGTTAAACTTTGGCAATTAAGTTTCTCCTCATGATGACATCATGTCTTGTTTACTGAGAAAATATTTGAATGTCTTTGCTGACAGCAACTTTTGCTGAATGTCTTGTCTTAATTGATATTTTCAACTGTTGATTATTCATATCCAGGTAAGCTGAATTGCCATAGCACTATTTATTTGTTTCAATGTGGTTACTTTATAAGTATAGATGATGAGAACTTATTGCTTTTTTCCTTTACAGTTATCAAGGAGAGCTACTCTTGAAATAACGCCAGAGGAAAGAGATCAGATCAATGAGAAAGAATTCAAAAGGGCAACTGGAATGTCACTGAGTAATGATGCATTTGTTCAGGGCAACTTTGCTCAAATTATTGCTGCAGAGAGTTTCCTTGATAAGAAGTTGTCATCAACACCATCTGAAGATGTGGTTCCATTCCAAACTCCTAGCCATAAGGATACAAAACACTCTGGCACAGTGCAAAAGATGAGTTGCACTCAGTATCGGGCAGCAAGCCATTTGATTGGAGTGTCTCCATTAGCAGATGCTGTTTTAGAGAAAAAAGAACTAGTTAGCACAGATAGCACAGAACAAGTATCCCTCTTATTTCATGACACCCATGGAGCAAATCAGATAAAACAACGGATACTTGGTTTCAACAATGAAACTGTTGCAATACAAGGGACAATTACTGCTGACAAGGAAAGGACACTGAAAGAGGTCATGTCTGAGAACAAGGTCTATGTTGAGTTGAGTCCTGACAAGAAGAGTGTGGTCGTAGTCTCTGAGGAATGGAATGAACTATCAGCAGCAAAAAAAAAAGTTCAGGTAAAATTTGGACAGGTAAAACCATCAAGTAGAGCCAAACGAACATTTGCTGAAAACCCTAGTACGCCACGCCCAGCGATAAACAATCCGCTTGAACCTTCATCTACACCAGAGCAAAGGATAGATAAACAAGATGATCAAGTCTTCAAATTAGGTTGTATCAGTGTCCTTGTTTATGCAGCAGATATAACTAAGCTGAGTGTTGATGCCATTGTCAATGCTGCAAACAAACATCTGAGTCATGGAAGTGGAGTTGCCAGAGCTATACTTGATGCTGCTGGGAATGCTTTAGATGATGAAGGAAGACAGTATGTTCATAAAAATGGCCCAATCCCTGTATCTGGTGTAGTGAGAACAACTGCAGGCAGAATGCCCTGTAGAATGGTTCTTCATGCAGTGGGTCCAGCGTGGCACGACTATCAGGAATTTGAAAAGAAAAGGTGTCAAGATGACCTGTTTAGAACCATCCTGCGATGCCTTATTAAAGCTAATAATGCAAAGGGTGGGACAGTGGCGATACCAGCAATAAGTTCAGGTCAGTATTATTAGTGTCGACAAGGATGATGGAACTAATAGTAGGTGACCTGAACCTGTCTATTTATGTTCTGATATATGTATGATGTATGATGTATGTAGTTGTTAAAGCATTGGTACAATGTGTGGAGCTGGTGCCTGGTGTAAACCTTCATGATATTGCTGAAATATTGCTTCAAAAACATAAGACCATACCCTCTCACTCATGTATCCAAAACATGTCCACATATTTATTTAGCATCTGATGATTTGAGGAATTACTGATTTATTAAGAGATCAAAGAACCATATCATGTAAACATAATCTAGTTTGTATTGTGAAAATAAATAAGTTAATTTTACTGCATATTACTGTGAATACATTGACCCCCAGTAGATGCCTTGACTATCAGTGCTGAGGTCACATGATTATATATATTTTTCTTTACTTGTAGGTATATTTCGTGTACCAAAAGAAAAATGCTGTGATGCATACGTGAGAGCAACTAAACTATTTTCACAGTGGACTGGCAGCCAGTTATGCTTGAAAGAAGTTCATTTCGTTGATAAGAGTGAAAGTATGCTGAAAATGATAGCCTCAACATTTTCAGAATCCATGCATTCAACTATCTCTCCAACACCTGAGGAGGAAAGATTTATGAATGAGAACATGAAACAAGGAGTTCGTCAACGTAGTAGAAGTAGAGGCAGACATGCTTCATCTACCCGCCATGGAGGTCAAACAACAAATACAGTCAGAGAACCTGATACTGTTTCAACTGCAACAGCATCTTACACATACAGTGTTGAAGGAAAAGGAGTGGTTAAGTTGTATACAGGAGATATAGTGAAAGCCAGTGTTCATGCTCTTGTCACCTGGGAAGACTCACAGGTCAAGCCATGTACCAGTGCTTCTGCAGCTATCACCAAAGCAACAGGAGACATACAACTATTCAGTAGGGACAGAGATTTGTTGTGTGTTTCTAGTTCTCATGCAGGAAATATGAATGATAAAAAACATATTATTCATGCCATCGTGCCTGTTGATTCCCTCTCACTGGGTGATCTACAAGAACTTTTTAAAAGAGTACTGAAAACATCAGATGGAAATGGTGATTCAGCAGCACTTACCCCATTGACAACCGGCAAAGGTAACCTGAAGATAAATTATGTCTTCCCTTCTCTCCTTCCGGATCACCACCCAAGCCAAACCCCACCCCACCCCATTTCTTGTGTTTCGATGGAAACAACCTGGTCTCAAACAAGAACCATTTGTTCCCCCCCCCCCCCCCCCAATCTCTACAGCTAATTAATATTTCTGCTTGAAACCATTATCTTTCCAGTCTATAATTTGCTTTTATCGTTTTTCGGATTTGCAAAAACATTTACAGTATTGAGTAACAACTTTAACAATTTTTAAAACTTATCTTATCTCACACGATGCATTTCAGCCTCCAGCTTCAAAGCCCATTTTTCCCAAACACACTTCGCATCACCATAGTCATCACTCTAACAATCAGGTCATGCACTACAATCCTGTTGACCGTACCATACGCAGTCTGATCACCTGACACCCCATGCCACATCTTTCTCTTCGTCTCCATGTTGTGACGTGCTATTTTCTTTTCTGAATTTTGACTGGAGTTCACGTATACCTTATGAGGAAGGACCAGATTAAACGTCCGTCTTAGTGTTATCTTATTTTTCCACCAGTGGATACACACGAGTTATGCTGCAACTGTTGTGGTGTTTGCAAATCCTAGTTTAAAGTTATAACCCGGGGTAGATTCTGGGAAAGGCAGGTAGATGCTGTGAGCACCCAGAATCTACCCAGGTATACTTTGAAGGGGGGGGGGGTATACTTTCAGACTTTACACCGGTATCCGTTGCTCGAAATGTTACCACCTGTGGGACAAGGATTTTAATAGTTACATGCGTAAATGTCAGAAGCAGAACATTGACCAGAGATCAAAATCACGGGATGCTGAACGTGGACCATCCTCTACTAAGAAGCCCAAACGGCTTACAATGAAAGGTAGCATCCATTCAACCATAAAATCTGTTGTCAAGCAACCACCGTCTTCTACTGTCACGTCTTATCGTCGAGGATGATGCAGTCTTGGACAGTTTGCTTCATGACAAGATTCCCAGCAACTCCTCACTATCAACTAATTCAAGTGTTCCACTTTACAGACAAACTCTCAGTCGACTACTTGTACGTCAACAAGCCCAGGGTTTTGGCAGTAATTGCTATGGACCCATCTACAGTACTACATCCTGCTGAAGCAGTTGGTATTCTGGATGTCATCAGATGTCATCACCTGGATGTCATCTATCATCCTCTTCACGAGATAGCACAGTTCGACCAGTCGACGTTGTTTCACCATGTCTTGTCTCTTCTCTTCAGGCTCCTCCGGTTTTACCCACCGCGGCTGCTATCGACTCTTCCCATGCGATTTTGAGATCACACACTGGTAATAGGAGAAGTAGGGAACATTCCCGACCCACAGCAGATGATCGACAGGAGAAGACCCACTGGTCCTAGGAACGTATGTCAAGGGTCAATATTCACAGGATCGATCTTCTACAGGTCGACATTCATGGGATCGATCTTCCAAGGGTCACCATGCCAAATCATCAAGGGAAGCACACATCAGAGGAGCTCATGACAAATTCCGGGATGTTGTGGACCTCATCACTCATCATTCAGATTCAATTACCACCTTACGTAGTCGCAGCCTTCTCACCCACCTACCCTTGGGATGAACATCTCAAAGTGCGATTGTATCAGATGTCATGGTCGACTCCCTAATTATTTGTTAACAGGATACAGTAAGTCACGCAGGATGTTACGAAGGAAACTCATCTACAGGTGACAATGGATCTCAATCAGGATCTCCACAATGTCATCAGTGCTATACCGGGTTCTTTTCCAAGAAGAGAGCATGGCCGTCAACATGGCTACAAGTCTTCAACACCAAGGTCTGTTTCCTTCACCTCTGCAAAGGACTCTGGAGAATCGTCCAAGCCGAGTGATGTCTCCACCAAGTGACTCTCCCATTCTATGAAACGCCAGAAACCTTCGGCCTCCAGTCAATCCATTAATTCCATCTCCGGGAGGCGGAAGACTTGAACTTTTTGTCACCAACTGTGTTATCTTGGAAGACACCTTTGTTTCTTGACTCCTCCGAGACGGGTATTGGTTGCCCCTCGTCAGGAACCCTCCTACTACATCCACACCACTCAAGAGGGCGTATCCAGCCAGACAGTTGACGAAGCTACAGGACACGATATGTACGTTGGTTTCAAAGCATGAGGGGGCACGGGTGGCCCAGTCGTCTAAGGTGCCGCGATAAGCTGTGCAGAGTTGCGTCCCTTGGGCACGCCAGAAACCTATGATTGTGGGTTGAATCCCGGTTCACCCCGATTATGTTTCTAGGTTTGTTAGCACCATACCCGTGCTCGTGAGTTTCACCGAAGACGTAAACGTCTGAGACTCGCATCACTTCGGGCTTTCCTCCCACATTGAGCTGACACGCCGTGATATAACTGGAATACTGTTAAAAGCGGCGTTAAACCCAACTCACTCGCTCACTCACTCAAAGCATGACCAAGAGTGTTCAGGCTCCAGTCCCACATGTTTGGGTCAAGATAAAGGACAGCAAGAAATTCTGCATGACCATCACTCAGGCTCATACTTTGACAAAGCTCTATACGACCATAGATGGAAAGCTTTTGAGGGAAACTGCCATGATAGGCCCATCGCCTCTCCTACTACTGCTTCCCCAGAAGTTGCAGAATATCCTCAGCATATTGTTCTACCAGGAAGCTTGAGGGTTCAACATTGTCTATGTATCAAGTTGCTCTTAACTCTGTCATTGCTACCATGACAAGCATGAAGATTTCTGTGGTCTCTGAACTCAAGGCTCTCATCCGTTCTTATAAATTCACCAACCAGTCGTCCAAATTTCGTCCATCTACTTGGGGCCTGAATGTTGTTCTTCCAGGTCACACCAACAGATTATTCACCATCCCGCCATTGGCCTCTGTCTTATACCCCGAGGATCGTGAGGACTTCTCGCTATGTCCAGTCAGAGCAGAGGCTGTGTATCCCCATCTCCTCAGTGGTCAACTCTGAGGTCTTTTGTTGCAATCAAAGATCCTCCATGTCTACAATTTTGCTGATATACCTCCGCCTCAGATGTTTAACCCTCACGAGACGAGAGCTGTGGGCCTCCATGATGGCACTGCACAGTAATTGCACCCTCAGCGCCATCGTGGAGGGATGTTTTTGGTAGTCATACACAGTATTCGCTTCCCACTACCTACGTGATGTCTCTGTAAGTGATGTACAAATTAATTGATAATAACAAGAAGGCACACTGACAGGCTGTTCTGTTCTAAAAAAAATAAGCAATAAAATCCTTTCCATAGCCAATAGGAATCTCTGCATAAAGCAGAGTTGATTGTACTATTCAGACTATATCATGAGCATGTGTTTATGATTCACTATCAAATAGTAATTATACCAGGTGTCGCGAAAAGGTGAGCATATCCTGCCCCACTAATGGCACCTGTCACAAAGACATGCTAAGTCAAGTCAATCATTCACCTGAAAAAACATGGGACCATATGATACAAGTCAAAATAGGGAATTGCATCAGACATGATTTTTGTCACTGATGCATCAAATTTGGAAATGTCCTCTGCATGTCTACCATAAAACTTTTTGAAAGGTTTTCTGAGGCATTTGAATGTTGTAACCTTGGTCAAACAACTTCTGAGGAAGAGTCGTATGAAGCTCTTTGAAATCTTGGTAGCATGAAAATGCTCGATTGTACCTCAAAAGTTGTGAAATGTAAACACCAAAGGCTGGAGCTGCTGGAATATTGCTCAACATGAAGGGAAAGTTGACTATTGGAAAGTTGAAGTCATCCCTCTTGTCATACAGTCTTGTGGAGAATGTTTTGTCACTCTGAATCTTTATGCATAGATCCACCACTTTGGTCCTGGCTCAACAATTAACAAGGTGTTCTGGCTTGTTCCTCAGTATCTTAAAGTTTAATGTTGTTTTGAGCAAGTTCTTAGTTCTCTCAAGGGTATATTTGGCTGTCTAAACTTCTTCTCCCCTGAAATTGCCACACCGAATGAGATAAACTTTGACATGTGTGTTTGTCCCTATGATGATATGTATTGTTGGAATGAATAGATTTTAGTGTTAGTATTTAGTCCCTGGTATTAATGGATGAAACATTTGAATATCAACTTTTGTTAAGTGTCTGTCTTTGTTGACATTTTAAACTGTTGACCACATATCCAGGTGAGCAACATTTGCTGCTGGGTGAACTGAGGATTAAGGATGGCCACTGATCCATATTAAGAATACCTACCTTCTTCTGAGAGAGATTAAATCTTTAACTGTTGCAGTGAAGAAAGGAGAGAAGTCATATCAGGTGGATTACATGCAGAGGTGATCTGAGTATTGGTTCATTTGTGCAGCATGTGTTTCTCACAACTGGAATATTGTTATCAGACTGGAGAGACATTGTGATTGGTTATGATTTTGAGAGCTTTGAGGAAATTGCGGTGATGGGGATGCTCAAGTTTGAGCTCCACCCAATCTCATTAAAATCAGATCTTAGTTCTCGCTATCGCTAAACAAAGATCTGAGGAAATCCCATTACGGGTCACGTCAGAACGCCCTTTCATCCAACCAATCAAAACATCGCTTACCAGATCATGAAAGTGACAGTTGGAATGTGTTTTCTCATCATGCAACCTCGAAAACGTTAACACTGGGTATTCCGAACGACAGTTACGGCCCGTACAACTGATTCTGTCAAAATTATCGTTTATTTCTCGCTTCCGTGGGTCAAACATTTGAACAGAGGAGACGTTGCACAGTACATAGGAAGTACTGTCATACAATTTCAACCATATATTAGACATTCCCGAATGTTCGTTTGTTCAGTTTTCAAAATTTTAATCGAGAACTGTGACAACATATTTTTCAAACGTATTCTTAAATGGAACTCGCCAGGTTGAAACGAGTACCTCAAAGCTCGAGAAAGCTGATTTCTAATTGGCTGATGTTTGTCATTTCAGTGGTTGGTCAATGTTCGCGAAAGGTCGTTCTGACGTGACCCGTAATGGGATGTCCTCAGATCTTTGTTTAGCGGCAGCGAGAACTTAGATCTGATTTTAATGAGATTGAGCTCCACCCCACAGTTTGTTTTTTCTGAGCCATGTGCTGATGACATATGTTACAGACTTCACATTTGATATGTCTCCTATACATCCCTGGAGAGTTTTTTTCTCTGGCATCCAAAATAGGTTTGTTTACACAATTACTTGAGTAGTTATGATTGGATTTTCGTGACTTGGTATACATAATCATTATGGAAGGGTCTTGATTGCATTAACTCTTGAATGACTGTATAAGGTCAAGATCACTAAGAGTCAAATGAAGTGTGGCACAAATTTAAGGAAATTTCAGATTAACTTGAATAAAATCTTTTAGCAACTATCTCATATGCTAAAGAAAACTATATAGCAAATAACACCCATCATATGTCATGAATGTGTCAAATGTGAAGATCATTTACACATGAAAATATTATCTGTATGATATGGAAATCTCCTAGTAATATTGTAACACCACCTTAGTTTGCAACAAGTAATGTTTTCGCATGTGATTTGATGGCAATGAAGGTCAAGGTAACTCATTGTGATTAAGGCATTGAAAAAAATATTTACATTAGCTTGTTATTACATTCTGCATTATTCTTTCATCTCAATGCCTGATGGAGGCCAAAACACCCTGCTATTAAGGCCCTCAGTACTTCCCTTCTTCAATATGGTCATGCTTCTCAACGTTTATGTTCTTTAGCCTCTTTCATATATCTCCAAAACATCCACAGTTCTAGTGATTTGTTTCCAACTCTTTGGTTGCATCTGGGTGTTTTAGTCGTGTCACTTGTTTTTGTACCTTTGAAATGTGCTGTTTCTATTGTTTATGTTATGTCTGAGCCTCCCAAGATGATCAATACCCGGCCTTCCAATATCTGTCTGATTTGCATTCTACCCTATGGATTTATAAGACATGATTGGGATTCTTAGATGTTGCCTGTCTACTGAGAAGCTGTAGTAAGACACCTCATCAGCCTGTAACGTTTATGACAACGTACCAATGCATGCTGCTTCACTGAGTCTGCGCCCCCTGCAGTTTCTGCACTTGTCCATGACTGTGGATCCTCCTGCATCAGCCATCCACAATGTTTATCCCTCACCTCCTATTTTTCCTGCAATCTGCCTCCCTGCACCTGTGATTCTGGCTACTTCTGCACCTGTGTTCATAATGAATCCTCTGTATTTGTCTCTTGTGCATCTTCGATAAAAGAATTATTGACACTTACGTTACTTCCTCAAGACATGCTTGCCATAAAAGGCGTCGTTACAGCGACAGAAACATTTTAATGATGAGTTACATTCAACCCTCTAAACAGAAGATAGGTTAATCTGCCTCAACCTGCAAGAAGCCTCATTTCCATGAATCCATTCATCTGGGGTCGTGAAAGTATCTACTCAGTGACATTAACGGGAGATGCAACAAGTTCCAAGTCATTCTGTTTGGATTATCAATCGCACCTTGTCCATTCACCAGGATCATGGCTCACATCACCAACTTTGCAGCATGGTTACCTGGATGATTTTCTCGCAGCAGATTAAGACATATCTCAGATCCATCAAAACATGATGTCAAACAAGTCAGAGATAGTACCAGCACAGAACATGGTGAACATTGGGGCCTAATTTCAACTACTTGTTGGACATCTCTGCACCTCTGTAACTACTCAACCCACATGATCTCTTTCAAGACTTGACGTACAGAGGGAGTTTGAGATTATGGCCACTCCAAACCTGGATCAACACACTGTGATTGCAGACCTTGGTCTCTCTTGCAATGATGCCACATGATCTGATACTGGAATTCGGTTTGTGGACTTTGAGGTCATTATCACCTTCACCTTTTTGCAGATGCCATTGACACAGGTTGGGGAGCCCACATGTACAATCTCAAGATCCAGGGCTTAAGGAATGCTTCCAAAGAAGAACTACACATCAACTGCCCAGAGATGAAGGCAAACATTTACACCCTCCAGATTTGGTACATCCAGAAACAAAGACGAACCAAATCCAGCTCCTTGATGAACAAGACTACAAGATTGTTTGTCTTGCCAGACTGGTGGATGGATGTAAGACATCTTTCAGGGAATTTCAACATCCCAGCGGACAGGCTTTCTCGTGGAGGGAGAATGTTGACGACTTATGGTCATTTCATCTGAAGGCATCTGCCCGGAGATCCCCACTATGGGACAGGCCACAATCTCTTCGTGATCTGTCTGAACAACCAACTACTGGTTTATGACAGCCCAATACAAGACCTGATGGCTATCCAAGTGGATGCAGTATTGATGGCTTGTAGAGGACTCTATGGATATGAATTCGAACCTTGGTCGCTTCTAATCAAGGTAATTAGGAAGCCAGAGAACACAGATAGTTTGACCATCTTGATAACTCCAGTTTGGTCAAGCATGACATGGTTTCACAGACTATTTCCACTGTTTATGGAGGTCCTATCCACCTACCATATGTTCATAATCTGCCCAGGTTGGACATATTCTTCAACAATCTACCTAGTTTTCATCTAACAGCCTGGAAGTTAACACAAAAAAGATGCAGCCCTTCATCTTCTCTGAGTCTGCGTCTACAGCAGTTGTAAGGTCTTGAAATCATCCTCCCTCAATGACAACAGATGGGACAAATTCAACCGCTGGAGACAAAGACAAGTTTTGATAGATAAAGCACCAACAAACCCATGATAGAGCTGTGATGGAAAGTGCACTATCAAGACAAGTTTGCATCTTAGAGGGCTATAGCTCGGCTCTATATTCTGTTTTACAACACGATGGACTATCTGTTGGAGAATGTTCGATCACCTTGTATCTTCCAAAAGTGGAACCTCTCCATTGTAATATCTGTCCTCCTAGCAGAATGGTATGGACCTCTTGCCACAGCTACCTTGCTTCAAAAGCTTGAAAAGTTGCTTTTCTTCTTGCCGTGGCTGCAGCAGCTGGATTTCGGAAATTCATGTTCAGACTATTTAAGTCTCACTCATGCTAATGACTGGAGCACAATAACCATCAGATGGCTCCCTGGATTCATCTCAAAGAATCAGTCTTCTCTTGGTCCATTGAACCACATACATTACACCATTCCTGCCTTAGCCCCAACTTTAGGCCATCCAGATTGTCGCCTCCGTCCCATTCGGGGTATCAGGTAGTATCCAGCTGCTTCAAACCCATACACAAGACATAGGAAGAGATTGTTCATCTGTCGCAAGACTCATTCCGACAAAGATGTCACTAAATCCATAGTTGTAGGCTGGCTTCTGTCCACTATTGCTGCAAGTTGTCAATAAGCCCAAGATTCTACTCTCAGTCTTGGTTCCTGTTCAGCTCATGAAATCAGAGCATTTGCTACGACACTTTGCCCTATGGACAAATGTGTCATTAGAACAAGTAGTATTCAGCTGCCTATTGGGTACTCACAGCACTTTCACAAACTTCTATATTCCTGTAACAGACTTACAAGGGATCTATTCCCAAGGTCCTTTATAGGCAATTCAAACTTTCATATCTAAATAGATTTCCTCTTATGGAAAAAAAGGAGAGTAGGGTGGGGATACAACAGCAGCAGCTTCAGAAGGTAAGTAGGCCGTGGACTCATAATTAGCTACTGAGTGTAGGGTAATAACTGAATAATGCCCGAAGTCACAAGCATTGATATCAGATTTACAGGAAGTGACGTCATAACTGGAAGTAATATCATAACTGGAACGTCATAATCGGAAGCGACGTCATAAAATGACATCATTAAAGACCAGAAATGATGTCATAATGATAAGACTAGGACTGGAAGCGATGTCAGAGATTGTAAGAACTGAAATGACATATAATAATCGGAAAGGACATCATCAAGATTTTTGGTGTTGACGCTAAATCCGGAAGTGACGTTAGAAATGGAAATGACAGGATGACTGGAAGTGACGTCAGAACTAGAAATGACCGCCTGATACATGGCATTAGAACATCTGATGACGTCACAAATATGAATATCAGCAAATATAATGGTAAATCTAGTGATGCTATGTATCGGTTTTCAACAAATATTAGTGGGTAGAATCATAAGGGACCAGTGATCTACTGTCGACTATACAGGGAGTTTAATGGAGGCAGATGTTTGTTACTCTAACAAGCCAAAGCTTCTTGAATTATTTATTCACTTGTGAGCTATGGAGCGTTGTTGCTCTGTTATTATTTTTATTTTGTTGTTCTAAAATTCATCAAAATTTATTTGTACAGACAATGACAACTAGACCAGAAACCTCCAACAGGTCTAAAATTCTTTAATCACTGTATTGAAACATTTCTTTTCTGAGTGATTGAGAAAGACTTTTGTTATTTCAGTTAACCTTGAAGGTTTTGCCAAGACATTCTGTAACGTTACCACAGAAACTATGAAGGAATTGAAATTACCTGAAATCCACATGATTGATATAAATCCAAAGGTAATAGCAAGTCTGAAGAAAATATTTGATTCTTGTCTCACCCTGGAATCACAAGAGGAGACTATGGACATAGATGTTGCTGGAGCTACTGGAGGGGAAAAAGAGTGTTCAATCTGCAAGGACACCTGCACAGATCCCAAAATGCTAGAGTGTGGGCACAGGTTCTGCAGTGGATGTATTGATCACTACTTCAACAATTACAAGCCTGTGTGTCCAAATTGTGGTGCCATTTATGGGCCAGTGTCAGGAACCATGCCAAAAGGTTCAATGAGAATCAATGTGAACAATTACAATCATCTCATGGGACATCCACATGATGCAACGATTTGTATCACATACAACATTCCAAATGGAATTCAAACAGTAAGTAATATGTGTAATTAATACAATTGTGAATGCATTTGTTATGGGTAGCTTAACATCATGTTCTTTCTCAGTTGTCTGTCATCTGTCCATTTAGTTTTACAGGTTTGATGCAGTATTGAAGCAGAAAACTAGAATGGATGATTCCCAAAATGGTTTCTTTGCAAATTGCAATATGTTTGTTATGACCCAATCTTGTTTTGTAAATGTCCATAACTGCATTCATTTTGAAAATGGTATTTTGACCCTTTGCTCGGATATATTTCTGAATATGTCATTATGAAATTTGTAAATAAATATATAATGTAGGCCAGGCCACATGTTTGTGACTGACTTGGTCTGACTGTGACCTCTTTTTTCAGTTTGGTGACAAGAATTGTTTAGATACAATATTGTGTTTGGCCAATGGCGAGTTATAATGAAAAACTTGTTAATGCATTGTGTGGTTATTGTCATACAATCTACTTGTATGTATAATTGAATATCAACAAATATCTGAACACAGTTGTTAGATATTGATTTTGCTACAGGTTACTCTTTGTGACAAAGCTTCATGTTTCACTGAATTCAAGCACAGACAATACCAGATAATCTTGATTTTGTTTCCTTGGTGTCACTTGCAGTCTGTCATTAAGGCATAATGATGTTATGGCCAAATATTTGTTTTCATATTTGCCCCCACTATGATGTAGAAAAGAGATTCAGAATCAGGATTTCCCCTGACACAACATTCTTGTGTCTGTGTATAGTTAAAACTAGCAAACTTTCAGTTAATATAAAACAAAGTGGTATTTTGTATAGATTTCTATAACAGGCAGTCAATACTATAACACACTGATTCAGGCGAACAAACATGAGATAACAAACTTGAACAATGGAACTCTGAATCATTTTGCTTTTTTACTACATGTAGATGCTATGATTTACAATTTCAATTGAATTTCCTGTTGGGCTTAAAAAATAAAAGAATTGGTTCTCAGGCAATGGCTTTTGAAAATATAGTGCAGGCGGGCTCTGTTTTGTTTTGTTTTGTTTTGGGGGGTTGTTCAAACTTGTATTTAACCAATTAACATTTGTGAACAATCACCCTGGGAAAGGGCCTCCCCATATAAATGTATTCCTTGATGAGTAAAATACTGGAATACAGTATTGGAGTGCCGTTGGACTACCAGCTAGTATGTGCATGATACACTCATACAATGAGCTTTGATTTTATTTCACATTGCAAAGATGTTAATGTGAGCAAAGAAGAAGAATGTCAACAAATCCATACTAAAGTATGTAAGTTACTCCTATTATATCACTATTTGGCTATATAAGTATTCATTGTGTATCTGGACTTACGTTTGTAATCCATTATATTACTTTTATCCAAGATTTCATTCAATTTTGTTTACATTAATTTCGGCGAAATTGTGTATGAACTGATCAGCAAATAACATCAATTCACCAAGAACTCGCCTTGAAACAAACATTCGTCGTCAGAGATACAAAGTCTTCAGTCTTCCTGTAACTATATTGAAATTTCTTTTCAGTTATGATATTGGCCATGACATAAGTATTTCATAAACTAAATCACCCACAGATAGGGGAGAAAATGTGTGAATAAATGATTGCTATTTCCAGCTTATTTTATGAGAAAAAACACATGTAATCTTAATCTCTGCGTATGAAACATTGTCCGTCATACTGTACTCAAATACCATTGAATTTGTAAATCATTATGTCTAGCGATGTTTTTTTCCTAAATTTCGTGTTTTCATTGACCAAACGTGCAAACAGCAAAACAAGCACACAAACCACCACGTGCCGCCACCACCTTAAAATGAGATGTGCAGTAAAGCAGTGCTAATGTGAGGGGAATATTTGTTTTTAAGTATTGTAGCATTTCACTGCTAGGGCCATGTGTTAGAGATGGGCAACATTCAAGGATTTAATTTCCTGTGAAAATGGAAATAAAAACGAAACGTGCGGCTGACTTGATGATGATGTAGCGATGCCTGTGAACCAAGACTATTTTTTTTTAGCCTTATGGTTAGCATTTTTGTATATGCAGAAATTAAGATCAATGTGTGAAATTGTCTCTTTAAATAAGCAGTTACACACATTTTCTCCATGATCTACCAGTGATACAGTTGCCAAAAAAGAAATACACTAACTTGAAAGCATTTTAATGCAATGACTGAAGGAAATAATATCTGAAACTGTTATTGTACCAGAAAACATACATTCTAATAATATCTTGATATTTTAGCCTTTGCTTTTCCTATATATATGTATTTATTTTTTATGTAAAAAGATAGTAAGGATAGTAGTTTGGAATATTACCTGTTAATTTGTACATATGGAACAGTTTTATGAGTCACAGTTTCAGAGCATCTAATTGTGACAAGAACACTTCCAGTAGTCCTGTTATTTTGATCATGAAAACAATCTATTAATATACACTATTCAAACAACAACAAATGTGACTTTACACGAGGCCACGAGAATTGCTTTTGATACATGTTCAAGTCAAGATGTTTGTAGCGATAACATGATTGTGGTTGCAGTAAATATTGGTGACTTTGTGCTATTGATATAAACAACATTGAAAATTTTGAATGCAATTAAAAACAATCTGTTACAAACACAAGTTCAAATATAAAATGAACTCTTTTTCATAACCTGATAGTGTAATAACAGGACTAATTTGCATGCTTCACTTAAGATTTGTTGGCATGCCATCGATGTTTTCTTTGCTTTTGGAAAATCATATCATATCATATCATATCATATCATATCATATCATATCATATCATATCATATCATATCATATCATATCATATCATATCATATCATATCATATCATGGACAATGTGCAGTTGTGCACCCCCTCCACACAGTGTTAATATTTGGGGGGAAATGTGCCTTATACACATCAAAATACAGTACTCTATTCTCATATATAATGGGTCAAACAAACTGATGTTAGAACTTTTCTACATTTGAAAGTTATGGTCACTCTAAATTCTTGCCTAGCAGTCCCAAAACACACTTCACACATTAGGGCACCATTCATTAAAAAACAAAACAATATGATACACATTTTTAAGAGGAAGTAACAGTCATTGTTGTAGTGTTACATGTTACATAAGTTGTTAACTGCAATTATACTTTTGGGACTCAAATCTTTATTTTGACCCACAAGAGTCACCATACTCCCAAAATAGAAATTAATTAAAAAACTTTAGATAGCTAAATTATTTTTTCACAGGATGAACACCCCAACCCAGGCAAACCATATACTGGAGCGTTTTGGACTGCCTATCTACCAGATTCAATGGAAGGGCGAAAAGTTCTTCGTCTGTTGAAGGTGGCATTTGACAGACGCTTGACATTTACTGTCGGCAGATCTGTGACAACTGGTGTGGAGAATAAAGTTACATGGAATGATATCCATCACAAGACATCATATTTTGGAAAGTAAGTTTAGATGTTGGTAAACCTCTGCAGCTCAATTGGTTATGAAACAGAAAAATTTGATAACCCAGCAAATACAATGATTTAATATCATTGTCATGCTTTTAATGTTGGTCCAATGTTGAAAGATGATATTGGTCCAACATTGTTTGTACTGGGTATATTGTGTGCTATTCATTGTTGGTGGTGTTCTTGGCTGCAAAGCATTTTAGGGTGATTTTATACTACAAGGGCATCATTAAATTCATGAGATATGTTGTCAATCATCTTTTTGTTCTCTATCTCTGCTCACACACAGTCATACAAAGAACATAACTGTCCAAGTATACTCTGCCAAAAATGAGAAACACAAAAGTTATTATAGATGTATATTTTTTTATTTCATAATAAACAGATGGTAATCGATTGTTGAAAATTGTTTGTAAGTTTCTGCAGCTCAATTGGTTATGAAACAGAAAATTAGATAACCCAGCAAATACAATGATTTTATATTAGTGTCACACTTTTAATGTTGGTTCAATGATGGCAAGATGACATTAGTCCAACATTGGTTGTACTGGGTGTATTGTGTGCTATTCATTGTTGGTGATTTTCATGACTTCAAAGCATTTTAGGGTGATATTATACTACAAAGGCATCATTAAATTCATGAGATATGTTTTCAATCATCATTTCTTTCCATCTTACAAAGAACATAACTATGCATGTATACTCTCAAAAAAAAAAGAAACACAAAAGTAATTTTAGATGTATATTTTATATATCATGATTAAACAGATGGGAATTGATTGTTCAAAATTGACACTCATCATTGACCCAGGTTCCATATGGCACAGAGGGACCAGTAGATTTTCAAGGTGAAGGTCATCAGTTCTCAGTATCTTGTATGGTCACCATTAGAGTCCACTGCAGACTGGCATCGTCGTCCCATGGACGCAATCAGATCGTGAATTGTGGCCTGGGGAATATTCAGACACTGACACACTGTGTTGTCCTGTTTTCAAGGCATGTGGGATGATGTTTTGTCTTTCAGGACAACAACTCCCATGCTCACCTTGCACGAATCTTCAATGCTCACCTCCAGCAGCACAACCTCCATAGAATTCCATGGCCAGCAATGTGCCCAGACCTTTCCCCCATATGTCTGATTGGGAGAAGTGTGCGTCAAGCCGTCAACGACATGGACCATCTAACCTGTTGGCTAAACTTGGCCACGCGCTGCAAAAGAAGTGGGACAGACTCCCTCAAATTGCTATTGGGTGACCACGTGCAGTTTGCCTCATTGAGTGAATGAATGATAAAATGTGGCGATATTACGCACTTTTGATGCAGAAAGGGCAGAAATAATTCCTCAAGTCACTGACAAGTGTCTACCAAACACAAGCTGAATTTGCCACCTGCAGGGTCGCAGTGGAAACACAGAACAACAAAATAGTTGGAAATATATTCAATGTGATTTGGTTGCACAAAAGACATGTAAAGACTTGTGGTGTAATTAATCAAACAAAGCTTTGATGGTTTGTTATATTTTAAAGAACTATTAACAAATATTTATTGTAAGATAAGTGAAGTTCATATATACTCAGCAACAAAAGTTCCTATGACACCAATATTTTAGTGTATTTTTCAAAAAAGTAAAGTTTGGTTTTCAATATTGTAGTACATGTATGGAATCAAGTCACAAAAACGCAACTGCTACAGAAAAGCATGCATTCCATGCAAAAGTGGACTTTATGCAAGCCCCATGCATTTCGCTACCCACGAATTGGTATAAAAACATGTACATTAATGGGATTCCATATGCATTGTTTAACATTGTGTTGACAACAACCACTCAGAAAAACAACAAAATCACGCAATCATTCAACATTATGAAATGCCACGCCTGTCCGAAAATGAGTGTCTGCGAGCCATTGGTATGCTTGAAGCACAGGATCTTGCTAGAAAATTTAATGTCCACAGAAACACCATTTGGTGTTTATGGCAATGTTGGCAACAGACGAATGCAGTCAGAGACCCCCCTCGGCGTGGCAGGCCACTCGTAACCAATAATCAAGAAAACAACTGGATTCGAACAAAACACCTACTAAATCGATTCCAGCCAGCAACAGTGACTGCAAGAAGCATTCCTGACCTTCGACAAATATCTTCACAAACCCTCGCCTCAGATGTGCAGGGATTGTCGCCAGAAGACCCGCCAGACGTCCCATTTTGACAGGAAACCCACCGTCAAGCATGTCTACAGTGGTGCAGACAGCGTCTACGCTGGACGGCCATGCAGTGTGGACAAGTTCTATTCACTGACGAGTCTCATTATCACCTCAGCCACAGCAATGGCTGGATTCGAGTGTACTGACGTCGAGGTGAACGTTATGTCAATCATTGTGTCATGGAAAAAGATCGGTTCAGGGGCGGCAGCGTTATGGTATGAGGTGGGATTACAGCAAGATGTGAGGTAAGGTGAAATGGGGTTTAAAGTCGCGTCCAAGATTATTGCACTTATATAGCGACAGGCATGTACGTGTGTGTGCTTGTGTGGCTGCTTGTACTAGTCCGGACTGATGCAGATTTATAGACCTAGCTCACTGAGATACCATGCCGCAGTTTAAAATGAATACCTCACTCAGACACAGTATACTCTGAGCCGACCAGTCCTTGTTTTAGCCCCTTAATGCCGAGCGCCAGACGCTCTCCGGGCGGACGCTCTACCACTTCAGAGGACCTGTTTGATAGTGGTAGAGGGAAATCTCAATGGACAGCGCTACCATGACGAGATCATCGGCCCTGTTCTACCGTTTTTGCGTCGTCATGGCCCAGGCATTACCTTTCAACATGACAACGCTCGGCCTCATATTGCTTGACTTGTTCAGGATTCTCTTCAGCAAAACAACATGAATGTCATCCCCTGTCCGGCTCGCTCCCCTGATCTTTCACCAATCGGGCGCGTGTGGGATGAGATGGATCGGCGCCTTTGACGTCAACCACGTATTCCACAGACACTCCAGGAACTTCGAAACATGCTGTTGCAGACATGGACAGATATCCCACAGGACTTTGTGCGACACCTGGTCCATTCCATGAGACGAAGATGTGTTGCTTGCATCGCAACCAGAGGTGGACACACACGCTATTGATTTGTAAATTCACATTTTGGCATGTTCATGTTTTTTGTGAAATCACACATTTTCTGAAGTCAGTATGGCAAATTAAACCATTTGAACACTTGCAGGAGTCTTTTATCTGTTGCAAAACAAAATTATTTCAGATTTGGTAAAAAACATAACTTTGCATCAAATCTTATTCAATGTCACCAGAACTTTTCTTGTTCAGTATACAATGTTGGCCCAATATCAGCATCCCAACATTTTAGGAAACATTGGACCAATATCAGTGTGTTTTGTGTAAGCTTATATAAATATTTATACAAGGAATTGTTTCCCCAGATATTAACATTGAACTATGAAATAGACATTATATAGCTCCTGACAACAGTAATGTTAGCCTTTATGATTGGAATTAAACGAAACTTATACATGATCTGTAGGTTGTGGATGTGATGAGATTTTGGGTGACCTCAGGTGCCAGGTGTCATGGATATATACAATGTGAAGGTCGTATTCATGAACAAATAGGGCAAGACATGTAGTTTAATTATAAAGTATATGAATATTCATTTAACTGACTAAGGTTGGTGGTCGCAAGATCACTCGTTATGACACTGAAAAAATGTCAGACAAAAAAAACATTCCTTGAATTTCTCTATCCAGCCAGATCAGTCAATCTTAAGGTAATCAAGCAGAGGTCCACCAAATTTCTGCTTTTTATTTGCTATGCATGTCATTGAAGTGTCACATTGTGAGCCTCTTTTCTTTGTTCTCTAGTTATGGCTACCCGGACCCAGAGTACCTGAAGAGAGTCCAGGAGGAGCTTGCTGCTAAAGGGGTGACTGAGGCGGACATTAAGTGGAGCACACCAGTGTGAGGGTTCTACGTACCCTTTACAATGAGATTTCTCATCATTTTCAACAAGTGTTCAGTGTGGGAAGCCAATTTACATACCATGATGTTGCAACTGTGTTGCCAATAGAAGCATAAAAGTTATCTTTGTTATTCACTCTTTCATTTGAGATGTCTATATCAGAGCAATTACCACTGTTGACATTATACATGTAGCTGCACAGTCTGTTGCAGGTCCCTGAACTTAAATCCCTTATCTTAGTACCTAATTATTTCCAAAATAGGTGGACAGGTATCCCACAGTGTGTTGTTGGATATCATGTGGAAAAATGGTGTTCCCTACCAAGATATTATGTGTAACTTCCCTAGAATATATTCTGTGTATAGACATGTACTACAAATTGTATTCCAATGTTGCTTATGTATGATAGCTAAATTATGTTATATAGTTTCTACTTAGACATGATGACCTTGTTTTGTGTTGCACCAATCATCACATCACACCTACAGGAATGGAACTTATGAGTGTTTTTACTGTTTTATTGGGCAACTTTAAAAGTCATCAGACCTTATTCAAAATATATGCCCAATCCTTGCAAAACATGATTTATTTCACAATGTGTTGATGGATATGGAATTTTATCTTATCAGTGTCACATGTTTACATGCATTAGTTTCAAGATAACAGGTTTAGAAAGTCACCACTTGTGTTAATGTTGACCTTTATGTGTGATGTTCTAATGAAAAAATACTTTCTAAGTAACTATCATGGTTATATTGTGGGTACATTATGCTATGCCTTAACAAAACAGTCTGTATTCCATGTATGTGTAACTTAAAATCTAACATTTGTAAATAACAGTTCTGCTAAAAAATACTGTGTAGAGTTTAGAGCGTAGGATAACCCATTGTCAGTAATTATACAGCATTTATGTATTGCCATTGTTTAAGAAACACTTGAATTTTATTCAGCCCATTCTTGTTGTCTCCTACCATTGTATGGCTGCCATAATGCTACAAGCAGGGTTCATGGTTGTGGAAAAATAATATTTTTGTAACAGTAATATTATTTCTTGTGATATATCAGTCACAGAAAATAAATCAATTCAACTGGCCTTTTCCAGGTTATTCTAAGTTAACACTTCTCAATACTGAATTGACTGTTTATACATGGTGTAGTACTGCAATTGCTAGTAGTGGTTTCATAGAAATGTCTGGACTTCTATTACAATGCAATATTTTATTGATATAAGATCACAGAAAACTAGCAGAATACCTTAAAAAAGTCGAGGAAATATGTCATGCTAATAGTATATGAGTCTTGTTAACAAGAGCTGTACCACAGCTCACTTTCACTAATCTCTACCCAGTCGTGACCCAGGTCAGCATCAATCCCTAGAACACTTAAAGTGGAGCAATGAGTCAGGCTCAGTTTCATGGCTAATTCTGTAACCAGACAGAGATGGATTCTTCTGACTTGGTTGATTCATGTCATCGTATCCCAATTGCGTGGATGCTCATGATATCAATCACTGGACTGTCTGGTCCAGACTCGATTATTTACATTTTGTTAGTCACTATTTGCCTGTCTTACACTAGATTATTTACACCCCACGTAATACACAGCTGGCATATTGCTGACATATTTATATGTATGTGAAGTAGATATGGTATCATTTTATGTTTTAGCCAGTGTAAATATTTACAGAAAACAGCTTTCTTACACATGTATCATACTTTCTTCAATTGTACATTTTGTCAAGAGTCAACAGATTCCTACATATATTTAGAAAATATATTTGCTGTGTGTACACAATGTTCTTCCATACGCCATGGTGATATCTCTTGTTTGTGCTTCAAGTGTCAGAGATAAGGAAGTTGTCTTGGCCATTTGACAGACATGAGTATATGCTGAGTTGCATGTCCATTTTTCCAGGTCGTGTTTCCAAGTTTGTGTTTGTACTTCTTTTTTCTTTGTACATAGTTGTACATAGAGACAATTGATGAGTAAGGTCATTTCATTAGAACTCCAGTATGTAGTTATGATACATTCATTGTTTCCTTAGTTTGGATTTTATCTTTACCTTTTAATCGTCGTTACTGATTTTGGTATGCAAAGTTAAAGATGATGAATTTGTGAAACTACTGGATGGCAAACTGATTTCTGTCCATCACATGGAGGACATGCATGTCCTATCATTGCTTCGATCAGTGAAAATTCCTTTAACAAGCCTTCTAAGTTTGAAGAGTTCAATAAGATAGCATTTAGACAAATTGCATGAAAACAGGTACCTGTAAATAGTTGACAGAGATGTTCTTTAGTTTGAAACCTGAACAACATATTATTGCATAACATTCTGGATTTGATTAACAACTACATATACCGTGTGTCGAGCCTGTGTAGTGTGTTGTGACCAGTGTGCAGCAGCTGTAACATGTGTTATGAATTAGTACTTTTTGTGTGGTCATGTAATTATATTTTATTCATAGGTAGTTGTCCCCATAAGTGATACCTACAGGAAGAAATGGAACCCAAAACTTGAACTACAAAACAAGTTATGTGGACAGAAAGATGTCATTTTCGGGTCCTCACCAAATGTCAGAATGACTTGAAGTGTGTTTGGCCATATGTAAATAAAGCTTAGTAAATAAGGGGTAAGATAGAATTTATGCATTGTTTGTAAATATTCATGGTAAATATAATATTAATGTTAAAAATGCATAGCCAAACAATTATAACCTTGTAGTGAATGGAACTGGTTTAAAGTTTATTATCTTTGTTTTCAACTGATCATTAATTGATTATAATCAATTAGTGCATTTAATGTGTGTGATTGTATGATGATTTCATTTGCAGAAAAACCTCAATTCCTCAACTTATCTGAACTTAAGAGTATTTTGTCTGATACTGTTGTTGCTAAATTGAATTGCATTTGAATAAAACCTTAAAAATTTAATCTTTTAGCATTTTTGCAACAATCCATTTAGCAATGTTGTTCTTATTGTCAATGTTTTGATATCAAATATATCAAGATCAGTAGTTAAAAGTTAAAAACTCTAGGCCTTGCCAAGTATTGATGTATTCGATATAAAAAAAGCAGAAGCATGAGATTCTATTTATCATCCAAATTCATTCTTCCATCTGTTTCAGTTAGTAGACAGTAGTAACTAGTGTCTTGAGTGTACAAAATGTAAGTAACCAGCTTCGGTGTCTGTACAAAATATATTGTAGTGATAGTAAAAGCTGTTTTGTTATGATAAGATGTATTTTGTACCAATAAGATATTTGGTAATGTATTCAATTATTGTATCATGTGAACGTTGTTGGGTTTTTTAAAGTGACGCCTGTGAGTTTCTTTTGTAAAACAAAAACATGCCTCTTTGTAAGATGAGAGCTTGAGCTGAATGTTGTATTTATCATTCTGGCAGTTGAATTCTTATAGAGCTGTCCTTTTGTACCAATTTCAATGTTTGTTATATTTACTAATGTACTGGAAAGTTTTTTTATTATTCCAATTATTTCAGTTATTTAAATACTGAAGAAAGCGTTGACTTATGGATTTCAATGCAACATTTCTCACAGATACTTATATATTTTAGCATGTGGTAAAGGTTCTAACATCTGAAAAATGAAGAAGTTTATAAATCCACAAGTCAATTCTGTCTTCATTGATACTCGAGCTTCTTAAAGATATTGTACTGAAATAATGAATTCACAACTTTCAGTGTATGGACCAATGTGATTAACCACTTTCTTATTATAAGCCTGTTATCCACACTTACATTAGTTATGTTGTGATTTGGAAAAAGACCTCAGTTCGGCTTTTTAATGTGAAGATTAGTTCACTATTGATACATTGTATTGTTATCTTTCCATTATTTAGTTATTAGCTACTGTGATATCATTTAGGATGTCTGCTGGTCTATATTCAAAATATTTAACATTTCATAATATTGGTGTTTTTGGAATCTGGATGATGTAATCTAACTTTACAATTGAAATTTGAATTAATTCACATTTTGTTTGATATGTTATGCCATATTTTTGACGATTTCACTTTAAATGTATGATTCTAACCTGCATCGTTTGGGCTTTCTTATTTTTTATAGAATAACTTAAAGCATGTTGTAAAAGGATTCCCGATTTCAGTTTTGGTTGGCAGTAAACTTATTCCAGCATTCATCCTTAATTTATTTAAAGTTGTTATGATTAATAATATACTATTTGATTTTGTTTATTGAGTATAACCAACCTCATATTTGTATGAAGACTCATATTATCTGATCAAATATATATTTCTGAAACCACAACCAAAACGGTTCCGTAGTGCTCTGACTCTATAATGGGCATCCATATATCTTTTCCACAATAGTGATATATTCTGTAACTTTCTTCTTCACATAAATGTTTGCCTAAGTGAAATTTTGGATTTTTTAAGAAGTGATCTAAATTTGAAACTGCTGACTCAAACTGAACAACTCATCACAAGGTTGATATGCTGCTATCGTACTTGCGAAATATCAATGATGCTAAAATCTATTTTGTACCAATGTTACTGACACGAATATTTGTTTGTTACTAATGTATAACCAGCAAAGGACTACATACCTTGACTTGCTTGTGTGGAGTATTGTTTTGTTTCTAATTCAATTGGTCAATAGTTTATCGGTTTTTGCAATGTCATTTAACAGTTTTTCCTATTAAACAGCAGCATAAGTGCTCTCACAATACGATTGTTTGATAATAATTTCTAAATTGTTTGTGTTCATCAGGTAGGACCTACTTCGGGATTTAATTGGAATTGGTTGAGAAAAGATCCATTGTTTTGATTTCCAGTTGGATTATATGGCTTGATGTAGAGGCCCCTCTTGTTGGCCTCTTAAACAATTCACACCTCCAGAAGTGTTTGAAAATAAGAAAGATCAAGCTGAACCCAAATTATTCAGTATTTTGTTGATTTGAAGAAAAAATCATATAAAACAAGTTCCATGTAAAAGATAGAGGATGAGTGATGGCACTTTATTGGGATGTAAAGGCACAGTTGCAAGAAGAAAGAGTTAGGCAAAGCACAGCGAAATGCTTGAGTTTCACTTATGCATTGCAGCAGGAATTTTGAATCATGATTTGTCTCACCAAGTACCAAGCCACACAATGGTAGTGACACAACCCTTTGGTTGTACTTTCAATTGATTCGGTGCTTGGCACTTAGTTCAGTCAGGAGCAAATGTGTTCCAGATAAAATATGACAAAACTGTGAAAGCAGAACCTTCTAGAACCAAATAGGTAGACTGGGCATATGATCCCCAAGGATAGGAGAATGCAAATAAATTTATATGGATCAGTTAGCTGGAGAACTGTTGTGTGGAATGAGGACAGTACAAATGTTCATATGATTATTAGGAAAGACAATAACACTTTTCATACAAACATAGTCTATATCCAATATTGACTACAATTTGCCCGTAATATAACTTTGTGATATTCCATATTAGTTTTCAGATTTAGTCATGTAGATGATATTATTTGAGGTTGAAATATTCTCTATAATGTAATTGAACTGTAATGGTATTATGATGATTTTCATATACATACAATAATATATTGGTGATACAAGAAGATATATATGTATTGTGCAAATGGCCTTATCCCTCTGGAAATATTTTATTTAGCTATAACATATCTTCTATGTCTGAAATAATTCATGAAGTATCTGTTTTGAACAAGAATACAGTAAAGATTCAATATTTCTGTAAAAAGTTGGTATGTATTGATCACAGAGGGATGAGGTGATTTTACCGCGTATTTAGTATTCAGATTTTTTTTTCTGGTGTGCGGTTTGCTTAAATTATAACTTAGTTAGGAAAATGTCAATCTTACATTCGTGGAATATGCTTACCAGGACGTATGTGATCTTTAACTAAGTAAGTCACATCTGAACTCATAAAAGCGGTCTCTACGTGCATCTGTGCTGTACTCCTAAGAAGGGACTATTGTCTTGTAAACCATCTGAAGAAGTTTGTTTTGTGAGGTTGTTACATTTTCCTCTGCTTTGCTTGAATAAAATTTAAAGAAACGGATACAAACTTGCTTGTTATTTATGGATATGAAATACCTCAATTTTGCAAATTAGTTTCTGTTTCTGAGCGACCATTTAATATTTGGGAGTGTTGGGTTGATCGACTGTTTGTGATAATGATATAAACAAATTATTATTAACGTTTTGTTGCTTTCAGGTGTTCACTTCTAATAACATCATGTTAACTCAATGTGTGACAAGCTGATAAGCAAACCGAGAAAACATAGCCTCCTTGAAAGGACATACATGTCCTCTGCGTGTCCGTTTTAATGGTGTCATTGATAAATTCGCTCTTGGAAGATGAATATTGGTTCAAGTGGCCTTATCCATTCAAAAGATATCTCTACTTAAGTGTTTTAAGTCTATTTGGAAGATGCATGTGTTTTCCGGGCAATGGAAATAATTTGGTTTATATCAGTTTGTTTTTAAAGTTATGGCTTATATTTGGAATGCCGAAAACCATTTCTTTTCTTGTTTCATTTTTAGCAACTTTCAAACGTAGGTGTATACATTCTTTTGCTCCGAAGTTTATATCATGAGTGTGTGTTTCGGCAACGGTAGTGGGTGTGGGCTGATGATATACATACCAAATCTCCCAATGCATTTGCCTTGTTACGACGTAAATTGTAATAAAAAGGTAAATTGTAATACTTGCAGCAAATTGTAATAATTTTGACGTAGATTGTAATAACAACGTAAATTGTAATAAAATTTGACGTAAATTGTAATATGCAAATTGTAATACAAATTGACGTAAATTGTAATAATCTCTACTTGCGGTAAAATGTAATAAATTCTTACGTAAATTGTAATAACCTTACTACCGTAGTGTCCAAGACGCCAATTGACGAGAAATGATCTTTGTCAGTTGAGCTTGTGTTTCACATGTACAATTCGAGAAATACTGTGTATGATGACAAACGTACAAAACTGTTAAGTTAGGGATGGTTGGTATAGGCTTTATCGTACAATCGTCATTAAAGGGTGGTATCAACATAGTGAAAGACATTTATTGGAAGTGATGTGATGTTTGTGGCATGCTATCATCTACGTAGAAGATACTACCATCTGCGTAGAAAATACTATCATCTACGTAGAAGATACTCTCATCTACGTAGAAGATACTTTCATCTACGTATATGATAGTATCTTCTACGTAGATGATAGTATGCCATCTAGATACTATCGTCCACTTACATACTTTCATCTACGTACATGATACTGTCATCTAGAGTATGTAGAAGTGCAGTCATATATGTGATACCAATGACACAGAGCTCACATTTACTGTCATTACATACACACCTACATGCGCGCACACACGTTTGTGTCTGTATCTGTGTGTGTGTGTGTGTGTGTGTCCGTGTGCGTGCGTGCGTGTGTGTGTGTGTGTGCGTGCGTGCGTGCGTGTGTGTGTGTGTTTGTGTTTGTGTGTCTATGCTGATGAGGCCCAATCTGAGGTTTCTTAGATAGTTACTAGTCTTTTCGTCAGAATTTTAACAAAGTATGTTGTAATTTCATTACAGTGCTTGTTGTTTGTTGGAATTACTTTAATCCTCTTAAACCCCAGAGGAGGTTATGCTTTCAGGGCATTATTGTCCGTCTCAAATTAGTGATAAAAAATGAAAAACGTATTATCTACGAAGAATATACTTATGTCTTTGTTGGACATACTTTTGTCTACGTAGAAGATACGTTTATCTAATGTATTTGCTACATTCTAATTCGTATATCTACAGGTTTGTGTTTCTATTTTATCTTTTAAAATATCTTACTTTGTTCATTTGTTACATTTTGCATAACCTTTAATTGCTCATATCAGCATTTTTGTGGGACCTCTCACAAAGTAGTGTCACTCATCTTTCACTTGGAACTATATGTAGAAGTGCAGTCATAGATCTGATACCAATGACATATAGAGGTCGTATTTACTGGCATACATACATACATACATACATACATACATACATACATACATACATACATACATACATACATACATACATACATAAACACATACACAAACACACACATACATACATACCTATGTGTGTATGTGTTTGTATGTATGTGTGTATGTATGTGTGTGTGTGTGTATACTGATGAGGGCATAGTATCGGAGATAAATATAATTTGGTTTCTTAGTTAGTCATTATTCTTTTCATTGGAATGTTAAGATGGTATGCTATAACTTCAATATTTTATTACAGTGCTTGATGTTAGCTGGAATTATTTTAATCCTCTTAAACCCCCAGAGAAGATTATCCTCTGAGGTAATTTTTGTCCGTATATATGTCACAAATTAGTGATAACTTATGAAAAACGTAATTATCTGTTTCGAAAATTATGTACCGCATTATACGAGAGGTACCAAATTTGGTATCAAGGTTGCTTGGCGCAATCAATCAACGATTTGTCGAGTTTAATGATCTTAGAGTACTCTTCGTATAAGGTCAAAGAGAATATTTACGTTAGTGACAAAACCCTTTTCATTATAGATTTTCCATCCTTTCAATTTTGATCAAAACAAATATATTTCAGCAATAATTGATTGCCACAAATTTTATTATACATTCTGATGCTCTTTGAAACTCAACAAGACATGCCCGAAGATACCGGATATTAATTTTGTATGCTTTGAATTATGATTTCGTGCCGTTATCATGATGGATTCTGTTTTTTGTTGTTGGGGCAAGGAGTTATTATCCCAGCAAAAGTTGTCAGTAAGTTGTTGTTAGTTCTTCATGACATATGAAAGGAATCCAGACAGTTACATTTATTCATTTATTTCATTAAATATACTTCTTGTTATGAAAGGAAATATTTTATGCTATATTAATTATCCATATGTTAATCATATATTGCTACAAATATTGCATAAGTTAACATGGTTTGCATTTATTTATTATTATTTCTTTATCTGTGAGAAGTTCACAGAGATCGAGAATACACAATATCTAATAGTATATGCAATGTAGGTAAAAAATATCCACGCCCCTCTTTTGATATTAATAAAAACATTGTATATAATGTTATGTATTAAGTATTCTCCTTTCCCATGCATGGGAAATCTATGCTGCATTTGCTGACGACTGGTTTTTTTCATTTGACATTGCACAGGAGATTTGTCACTCATTTGATGTATTTGAATTCTTCGTCAAAATATAATACAAAACACACAGAGTATTTCTCAAATAAATAAGAAAACTAAGTTCATTCTAGTAATTAATCCTCTTCTGGACAACCATAGAAATGAAATTCCAATGCGTATATATATACATATAATTATACAACAATTCACGATAACGACCTCAATCCTCCCCCACACCCATACTTTAATGACAATTGTACGATAAACACTGTACAAACCCTGACAAGGATAGGTTCTAGTCATTTAACGCCTTTGACACTAAACTTATAAGGTTATTACAATTTACGTAAAAAGTTATTACATTTTACCGCAAGTTGAGATTATTACAATTTACGTCAATTTTTATTACAATTTGCGTATTACAATTTACGTCAAATTTTATTACAATTTACGTTGTTATTACAATTTACGTCAAAATTATTACAATTTGCTGCAAGTATTACAATTTACCTTTTTATTACAATTTACGTCGTAACATGCCTGTATCCTTTCCTATTTTGCATCAATCCATGTGTCATAGTGCCCCGACGACGTGGATCATTGCTCGTAATACCTCACTGGATTGTCTGGTCCAGATTCGATTATTTGCAGGCCGTTTTCATACAGCTGGAATATTGCTGAGTGCAGCGTTAAGCAAAAAACTCTATTTTCTCCCTCCCGACAATACCTTTAAAGGATCCGTCAAACAACAACAGAATTCCAATAAAAATATTTCGACATCCAATGGTGTTTTTGAAATAAAAATATTTTTTGAAACGAATATAATTAGTAGTACTTGTGTGTTTATGTTGATAATTCCAGAAATAAAGTTTGTACCGATTGTACATTTTTATGGAGATATAATTCTCTGCATGTGAAGTATCTTGACAATGCTAATAGTACTTAACTCAGTGGTCAAACTAGTGACTCTAGTCGACTGAATATGAATGGTAAGCCCTGTATTACAGATAATCTGTCATGATATCAATCACTGGATTGACTAATCCGGACTCGATTATTTACAGACCGCCGTCATATAGCTTGATTATTGCTGAGCGCTGCGTTAAGCATCAAACAAACAAACAGATACTCTGAGGATGTCATATTGTGATATAATGTGACGCTTAGACCACATACGGCTTTTTCCATTTGACGAGAGGCCGGTCACATGACCGCGAAACTGAGGGTCATAAGCGTATGGACGACATATTTTGACATTCAGACACGAGAATGTATTCTTGAAATGACGTAAACACTGACAGACTACATCCACACTCCTGGGGATACCCTGGCGAACAAAACGAGTGAATGAGATAATTGAGTATGGTTTTACGCTGATTTTAGGAATATTCCAGCATTATCACGGAGGGGGACACCAGAATTTCACACATTGTACCCACATGGGGAATCGAACCCGGGTCTTCTGCGTGACGAACGAACGCATAAACCACTAGGCTACTTAAAATGATTTGTGTCCATCAATACATGTATGTTGTTCCTGTATGCCTAGTAAAATTTCTCTCATACAGGAAGCGGTCAATAAAAGTATATCTGATTACTATGTAACCTGTTTTAGTTAACTGGTTAGATAGGTCGACCAACATCTTAGTGTCTGAGCTGACAGTGACAGTGACATTCACTTACTAAGTAAATTTACAAAGTATTGCTGTCAGTGTAGACTGACAGTGAGAGCCTACCGCAATCTATGAGGTGAGGTGAGGTGAAATTGGGTTTAAGGTCGCGTCCAAGATTATTGCACTTATATAGCGACGTGCATGCACGTGTATGTGTGTGTGTGGCTGCTTGTACTAGTCCGGACTGATGCCGATTTATAGTGCTAGCTCACTGAGATACCATGCCGCAGTTCAACATGAATACCCCACTCAGACACAGTATACTGACTCCGAGCCGACCAGTCCTTGTTTTAGCCCCTTAATGCCGAGCGCCAGACAGGGTAACAACAAGTACAATCTTTTAACGTCTTTTTGTATGACGCGGCCCGGGATCAAACCCTGGACCTTCCGCTCTCCGGGCGGACGCTCTACCACAAGACCACGGAGGCGGTCCGCAATCTATGAAGTTACATCGGAATATATTTGACACATTTTTATAATCACCTTTCACTGTATAACGATTACTAATATTTGTAATCGCCGCAGGTTCATCAACAACTTCGGATACCTCTCCCGTCACCTTTATCGTGTCGGGACATTGTAACGTCCCGTTCTAGATGCAAATGTGATGGCAAATTGAGGTAGTTCTTAACATACCATTTTTCCTCTAATGATGTCATTATAAGAATCTCTTTGTTGTAACCAAACTACAAAAGATGTTATTTACTGTAGAGTAATTTGAGAAAACACACGCTCTCATGTCACCTCTCCTTTTGAGGAACTTTTGTATTCCTCGAGTCCCCTGGTTGTTGCATGGCTGTTGCATGTTGCCTGAAGTCACACGAACTAAATAAACTGTACACGTATACATCCTTCCAGGTATACAATACCGATAGGCTACCACGTTCATACAGTTTGGCCCTCAGTCCATGAACGTTCATGGTCAATCGCACAAAGTTAATGCCATTCTTAACTAATTAGTTTTAGCAGGCAAGCACTGGTCCAGGGAAATATCAGTGTAACTCCCGAAGGAGGCAAGGGACTTATTAGGCATGGTAAAAAGACATTTAATATTAACTCGCACTAAATTCATTACTTGTATTTAAGAAACCCCTGGGTTGTTTTAAAATCTTCAGGGATTGGGAGCGTATCGTGATATGTAACTCATAAGTTCACTACCTCTCATAATCTTGCTGGCAAAATTGTATCTGAAAAATGAAGCTTCTGGTCTAAGGCTCATTATTAAGACTGAAAATAACAAGTGAAACTTCTACCAGTAGATGAAATATGGCAAAGCAGAGTAATAATGTAATGAACACACATAGCACGAGCCTAATCACCCCGACACATCAAGCATCTGCATCAACGTTCACGTTGAAGTCAAAAGAAACAATGTTTGACATGTGCCACATAAGACCTAAAGATATGTAATAGCCATCGCCGACGTTGAACCACGCCCACATGTCGCCAGACAACCCATTAGTAAAGGAACACAGTGAACTGAAAGCTTGTCATTTTCAGCTTGAGTTTGCCTGTCTCGCAGTCCCCGAAACATTTCACTGTCCCTTCAACCCAGCTCTTACTCTAATTTTATTGTGCACCGGTACTCCTTTTCAATTGGTATGTCGTTGTTTGTTTCACATACGGCCGATCGGCGAATCACTGAGGTAATATTGCCAGTTAAGTATGATTGTCCAAGGAAATAGTACATTCCATTATAACAGAAACATTGGCAATGAAAACAGTATCAGGTCGTTCAGTTCCATAGCCTCTGGCATCTGACCCGAGGCACAACATGTTTCGTGATACTCTAGCTCTGTTTGAAGATGATCCAGAAAGATTCTTGAAACGATTTGTGACTGTGTATGAGACCTGAGTTCACATTTTCCAGCATGAGTCCAAACAACAATCAAAAGTGTGGAAACATTTGACATCACCGCCACCAAAATGGCAAAGACTGTCCCATCACCTGGAAAGGTAGTGGCTTCTGTTTGTTTGAATGCCGACGGTTGACTATTGTCCAAAAGGCCAGACAATAATCAAAGCGTATTATGATGCTTTATTTTGGCAATTACTTTAAGAATAAGAGAATATGAAAATGTGTGGCTACAATGTATGATTGTGGCGTTGAACTCCTTCAGCACCCACTTTCTTCTCCTGATCTCGCTCCTCCAGACTCCCATGTGTTCCTAAATAGGAAGAAAACTCTAGCTGGAACCCTGCCACTGGAACGATGACATAGCAGTTGTGGACATTGTTTTTGACAGGTAAGAGAAGGCTTCTACGAAACTGGGCTCAAATCGCCCAAACACCACTGACAAAAGTGTATCTATTTACAATAGGATTTATACTGACAACTAAATCATGTTAATGTCTTTCGGTGAACTCTTTCTATATGAGGCTCAGAACGTATCAAACAGCACTCGTATTTTCATATTCTCTTTGTACTTGTGGCTGTCAAAGTACACGCATTAAGGTAATCTTATAATATGATGTCAAAGACTAATACCAAGTCGTGAAATGAGTTAACATTCTTGATAAGCTCACTCCCTTTCTATAACCATGAGTGAGTGAGTGTGCTTCGCTGCAGTCAGCAATATACCAGATGTATCCCGGCTGCATGTTCTGTCGCAAACCATACAAGAATTAACGCAAATTAAGTTTTGATACTCGCATAAACTTTACAACACTTATGTCCATCTCTAATTACATAACCAACTTGACAAGACAGGATGGGCAACTGGAGCGACCGAGGTTCGATTCGATCTCAAGACCAAAAAGACTTAGGCATTTGTCTAAACCGAAGGTTTTAATCTAAATAAATTTGTTTTATGGAAAATGGAAAGGATATGATTCAAAGATAATTTATATGACAGTCTCAACAATTTAAGCTATAGTTTTTTTTATGCTAACTGATGCTTCTATTTCAAATTGATCACAAACGTTGTATGCTAATTTCAACTATTTAGATATGATGTTGTCTAGGACAACTCTATACTCTCTGTGTTGTACTGATCGATACCATTATTGTTTTGTATGTCGACCCCGTTTCACTAAAAAATACAATATATAAGTTTTCACAAAGGTTGGATGAATCTCACCATTTACAACCTCTACATACAACGGCCTCATCGCAAGTGATATACGATTGAAACATGAAAAACATCAACGGTAAGATATTTAATCTTAATATAGGACAGAACGTGATTATATAGAAATGTAGAAGTATATAAACACCATTGTCAAATTTTAAATTAATGTGTTCTAAAATACATTACGCGTATGTAAATAAATTACGCATATATTTATTATAAGTGCCAGTTTTCATTTGCATCTTACAGTCTCTCGAAAATGTAATAACCTCTGACAGAATAAAACTACCAAATCTAACGTAAATTTCAATTTATTATCGTTGAAGTTGTCGTTTACTGAAGTGAGGTGAGGTGAAATGGGATTAACGTCGTGTCGCATTCAGTGATTGACTCGTATAAATTTTCTTATGTGTGTCGGTGTGAGAGGCTACTTTAATACATGCGTTATCTCCTGTCACGTGTCACCTGGGTTATCAACACCTTATTCAGGGCGTATTTTCATCCAGCTCGTCTGGTGGTGTCGCGCCGGTAAAAGAGACTCTCTCCATGCGCAGGGTGTGTGCCAGTTAGGTAAGTGTGTGAAACGAACTGGGATACTAATTGTGACACGCAAAATACAACACGTAAATAAGTGCACATCGCAACATCGTGACACAGTTTGGTATTACCTGACAAGCACTCAGTAAATGAGTATTATATACAATTCGGGTGTGTTTTGCTGTAAATAGTTACACGTACAGCCATGTCTCCAAATCTTAATCACTTCGTGAATTGAATTCTACGAAGGTAAGTCCTCTGGTTGCAGTCCCGATCGATGACTCATCAATTAACTAAACCGAAAGTAGGAAGTCATGTGAGCCCTTATCAGGTGTGTTTTGATAATGTGACTACATTTAGTGGAACGAACATGACAATCAAGCAGATTAAATGGGTATTTGTGTGCAGTATTGCCAACCACGTCAGTGCTCATACGTGTGTTAATGCCAAGATCCTATGGGGAGCAGGTCAAAACTACCTCATGTGAGAACGGCGTCACATGGTAAAGTCACAGGGTGCAGGCTAAAACGGCCACAGAAAAATGGAAAAACGGCCACAATCTATAGTCATATCGGCCACCACAAAAAGTCATAACGGCTACAGCAAAAAAATCAAAATGGTCTTATTTGGGTCAGAGTTTATTTATAATTTCACATCAAATTGGTACACTGGTCAGAGCAGATCAAAGTAAATTGTTGAGATCGGTTACAACAATAAGGGAACTCTACTGGAAGAGATTAAATTGTAATAACAGCCTCTAACATGTACACTGTACACACCCTAGCAAACACACTGACATCAATCTGGGCCAAAGTTGCAATTGGTTGAATGTTGGCATGCTGATATTAGGCCAACATAGAGCCAACATTGTATATTAACTTCTATAATTGTATATCTATATTTATAATATTATATCTATATTTTATTTAATGATACTTTTAAAACTTACAAACTACCAGCTATGTTAGGTCTTTGAAAGGCATTTAGAAGTGATACACATAAGGAAGTGAATAAATGAATGTCAACTTCTGTCTTACTGTTAAAGGTAGACTTGTTATATCTGTCTTTCTGTTTAAGGTAGGCTTGTTAAATCTGTCTTACTGTTTAAGGTGGGCTTGTTATATCTGTCTTATTGTTTAAGGTGGGCTTTTTATATCCGTCTTATTGTTTAAGGTGGGCTTGTTATATCCGTCTTACTGTTTAAGGTGGGCTTGTTATATCTGTCTTACTGTTTAAGGTGGGTTTGTTATATCTGTCTTATTGTTAAAGGTGGGCTTGTTATATCTGTCTTACTGTTTAAGGTGGGCTTGTTATATCTGTCTTATTGTTTAAGGCGGGCTTGTTATATCTGCCTTACTGTTTAAGGCGCGCTTGTTATATCTGTCTTATTGTTTAAGGTGGGCTTGTTATATCCATGTTATTGTTAAAGGTAGGCTTGTTATTTCCGTCTTTCTGATTAAGGTGGGCTTGTTATATCTGTCTTATTGTTTAAGGTGGGCTTGTTATATCTGCCTTACTGTTTAAGGCGCGCTTGGACAGCCTCCGTGGTCTAGTGGTAGAGCGTCCGCCCGGAGAGCGGAAGGTCCGGGGTTCGATCCCCGGCCGCGTCATACCAAAAGACGTTAAAAGATGGTACTTGTTGTTACCCTGTCAGGCGCTCGGCATTAAGGGGCTAAAACAAGGACTGGTCGGCTCGGAGTCAGTATACTGTGTCTGAGTGGGGTATTCATGTTAAACTGCGGCATGGTATCTCAGTGGGCTAGCACTATAAATCGGCATCAGTCCGGTCTAGTTCAAGCAGCCACACACACACACACACGTGCATGCACGTCGCTATATAAGTGCAATAATCTTGGACGCGACGTTAAACCCAATTTCACCTCACCTCACCTAAGGCGCGCTTGTTATATCTGTCTTATTGTTTAAGGTGGGCTTGTTATATCCGTCTTGCTGTTTAAGGTGGGCTTGTTATATCCATCTTATTGTTTAAGGTAGTCTTGTTATATCCGTCTTTCTGATTAAGGTTGGCTTGTTATATCTGTCTTATTGTTTAAGGTAGGCTTGTTATATCCGTCTTTCTGATTAAGGTGGGCTTGTTATATCCATCTTATTGTTTAAGGTAGGCTTGTTATATCCGACTTTCTGTTTAAGGTGGGCTTGTTATATCCATCTTATTGTTTAAGGTAGGCTTGTTATATCTGTCTTACTGTTTAAGGTGGGTTTGTTATATCTGTCTTGTTGTTTAAGGTGGGCTTGTTATATCTGTCTAACTGTTTAAGGCGGGCTTGTTATATCTGCCTTACTGTTTAAGGTGGGCTTGTTATATCTGTCTTATTGTTTAAGGTGGGCTTATAATATCCGTCTTTCTGAGTGTTTAAGGTGGGCTTGTTATATTCATCTTATTGCTTAAGGCGCGCTTGTTATATCTGTCTTACTGTTTAAGGTGGGCTTGTTATATCTGTCTTACTGTTTAAGGTGGGCTTGTTATATCTGGCTTACTGTTTAAGGTAGGCTTGTTAAATCTGTCTTACTGTTTAAGGTGGGCTTGTTATATATGTCTTATTGTTTAAGGTTGGCTTTTTATGTCCGTCTTACTGTTTAAGGTGTGCTTGTTATATCTGTCTTATTGTTTAAGGTGGGCTTGTTATATCTGTCTTATTGTTTAAGGCGGGCTTGTTATATCTGCCTTACTGTTTAAGGTGTGCTTGTTATATCTGTCTTATTGTTTAAGGTGGGCTTGTTATATCGTCTTTCTGTTTAAGGTGGGCTTGTTATATCCATTTTATTGCTTAAGGTAGGCTTGTTATATCTGTCTTACTGTTTAAGGTGGGCTTGTTATATGTGTCTTTCTGTTTAAGGTGGGCTTGTTATATCCACCTTATTGTTTAAGGTGGGCTTGTTATATCTGTCTTACTGTTTAAGGTAGGCTTGTTACATCTGTCATACTGTTTAAGGTGGGCTTGTTATATCTGACTTACTGTTTAAGGTAGGCTTGTTATATCTGTCTTACTGTTTAAGGTGGGCTTGTTATATCTGTCTTACTGTTTAAGGTGGGCTTGTTATATCTGTCTTACTGTTTAAGGCGGGCTTGTTATATCTGTCTTACTGTTTAAGGTGGGCTTGTTATATCTGTCTTATTATTTAAGGGTGGTTTGTTATATCCGTCTTATTGTTTTAAGGTAGGCTTGTTATATCCGCCTTATTCTTTAAGGTGGGCTTGTTATATCTGTCTTACTATTTAAGGTAGGCTTGTTATATCCGTCTTTCTGTTTAAGGTGGGCTTGTTATATCCATCTTATTGTTTAAGTTAGGCGTGTTATATCTGTCTTACTGTTTAAGGTGGGTTTGTTATATCTGTCTTATTGTGTAAGGTGGGCTTGTTATATCTTTCTTATTGTTAAAGGTGGGTCTGTTATATCCGTCTTATTGTTTTAAGGGGCACTGATCTAACGCACTTCCCCGGGACTGGTTGTTGCCTTTGTTATTGTTTTTCCCCAGTGAGTACCCGGATGTATAGCATAAATCTAGACTAGTTCGCGACCTCTGCTGCGCCCTTCGTAAGCGTATTAGTCACTTTTATGGATACCGGTAGTAACAAGGGCGTATGGTCACATTGATCAACAAGATGAAATACAGTTTTCGAGATAATAAGGAAATGTAGGTATCTTTGTGTGTAGCATCGGTAATGTTGACGAAGTTTTGATAAGTCACTTGCTTGGTAATTTTGCGATTTTAGTTTACACTATTTTGACTTGCAACATAAAGTAAATGTTTCACCTGAGCATTGCTTTTTTATAGTGTGTATAATATTTTACTGTCAAAATGTGTAACATATTTATTAAACGTCTAAATATTCAGTTATTTTACAAATTGACTGAAAACATTTCCATCTCTATTAGAATGATAACGAATTCCAAATATTTTGATGTTTAATGTCATCACCAAGAGACTGAAAATGTTACGTTGAAAAGTACATTTCTATGTTGTTTGGCTTCTAATCCTACATAATGACCTGTTGTGATGTTTGTAGGCCCTTTTGATAGTCTTAATCAATCTGGACAGATTTTTTAGTCAAAATGACTGAAATATTTACACATTTTATAAATTGCCTGAGAGAATCACATTTTAAAAATTGACGGTAATATATACACGCTTACAAAGAAAAAGACCTGTGAAAACAACGTCTATCGCGCATTGAAGAATTTTCCAACCAAGACGTAGAGAAACAACAACGAATTATCGGTTCAAATGAAGGAAAACAAAATGCAAATACCATAATTACAACCTACCAAATTTATGTGTATAAATTTTAGGCAGCTTCCTTGTTCGAGGAATGTATCCGTGAATATGCACACAAAGGAACAATATCCCACTCGTCTGCAGCTGTACAAAGAAACTTATTGATGTCACGTGTCTCTGTAACAATCAAATATTTTAAAAGATATAATATTTATATCGTTTCGGGATATTATGACCCGTGTTCGTTTCTCAACTGATCACTTGGATTGTTTCAGGTGTTTCACATAGGTGTCAAGTCTCAAGGGTCGGCTGTGAAAGCACACGTGACAACTATTTTCATAACGTCCACGGGGTTCCTAAAAAATCCATTGAGTGATAGATAACAATGAGCAATCAATCAACGTATTATCAGTTAACCCTTTGAACAAAGTATGTTGTTTTTACATCGGCACTTCACGCCATGATATGAGTGTATTCCCTTTGTTTGAGTAAACCTAGACATGTAAACACTCACTTTTGACATATCCACTGTGCAAGATAACAGTGATTAATCAATCAACGTATTTTTTGTTAATCCTTTGATGACTAGGAACGATCCGTTGATTTACAAAAAAAAGTAAATCAACTGATCATTCATCTCTTGCTGGGCTGTCACGTGCATATTACATAACACACATTTCACCTCACTTCAAACCTGGATTTAGATTGAATAATTACCCCAGACACAATAAATGCCAAATGGGAACCTTTGTCAGGTAATCTAAGTGGTGCTACCACTAATTGTACCTGTAATA